TGCAGTTACAAATAGTTTGAAAATAAAAAAATCTTTTTTTAAAAAATATGTCTAAAAGGAGTCAACTTTCAGATTTTAAGCGAAGAGAGATTATTGGACTTTGGAAAGGAGGTCATGGTGAAAGAAATATTAAATTCATCCTCCAACATCCTAAGTCAACCATTCATAATATAATAACCAGTTACAAAAATAAAAACCAAATTACAGCTATTCCATAACCAGGCAGGCTACCAAAATTAACAAAAAGAGATGTTAGATATCTTATAAAAATTGTTAAAGAAGACCGTCAACAGTCTTTAAATGAAATAACAGAAAAATTTAAAGATTTATCAATAAATCCAATATGTCAGAATATTGTAAGAAGTGTTTTACATTCTGAAGGTTTTTTTGGTCAAGCAGGTAAGAGAAAACCATTAGTTTCTGAAGTAAGTCGTAAAAAAAGATTAGAATGGTATTGCAAAAGAAGAAATTGGGATTCTGAGTGGGATTCAATTATATGGAGTGATAAATCCCATTCTTTATTATTTCAAAATGATGCTCATTATTGGGTTTGGCGTAGATCACATGAAAAATTTGATGTAAATTGCTTAATTCTAACAGTAAAATTAGGAAATCAAGGTGTTATGGTATGGGGATGTTTTGTGAAAGATAGACTTGGTCCTTTAATTCAAGTTCCTGGTAGAATTACAGGTTCTGTATATATTGATATGTTAAAAAATACTTTTTTACCATTTTATAACAGTTTTGAAAATAATTTACAATATATTTTTCAAGATGACAATGCTCCAGTTCATAGAGCAAGTGCAGTTAATCAATGGAAAGAGAGTAATTCAGTATTAAGTCTTCCGTAACTTACACAAAGCCCGGATCTTAATTCAATTGAACATTTATGGGATGTTTTGGAAAGAAAAATTTAGGTACACAAACCTCATCCAAAAAATATTAGGGAATTAATGATAGTTTTAGAAGAGGAATAGAATCAAATCAAACCTGAAATTTTAGTAAATTTAGTTGAAAATATGTTACAAAGGGTTCAAGCTGTAATAGATAGTCATGGCAATCCAACTAGATACTAATAATATAAATAAAAAATATGAGCTTTTCTGCATTACTTATATAAATTTTGTAAAAATTTTATTAATAAATTGTTAAGTAATAAACATCGAAATCAACTATAATTTCAAATGATCAGTAAATGATCAGCAAGTGATCGGATATTTTTTGGAAGGGAGTGTACCTGAGAGAGCAAATCTGAAACATTATGTTCACGCTTATAAGTTCCTATTTGTTTTGCATGGGCCATTACTGTACATAAAAGTTAGGGACTTATACTACAAAAAACTGTAATAAATCTTGGTGATAAGGAGTTTGCAGCTGGCCTTTCATTTATGACGATGTTTCAGGTCTGCATCATGGAAGATATTCTCTTTCAACCTTTCAATTTTGAAAGACTTTAACGTATTAAAGACTATAGAAAGTTGCAAGAAAGGAAAATCGAAGAAGAGCGACTAGTTTTAATGATACCTAGAAATTGACATAAGTTGTAAGAAGCACATAATAACTTGTTTCAACAATAAAACTTCATAATTTCCAAAGTTTCCCAAATTTCCAAAACTGCGTTTTTATTTTTTTAAGCAATAAAATATTACATTAAAAATATCACAAAGGTACAATATATTAAAAATATAACAAAAATAATAATAACAAAAAACAAAAATAAAGATTTTATAAAGTGAATTTTTGCTCTAGACTCTCAACAGCTTCAGTTGCCTAGTAATAATATCTAAAAAGATTCAATAAAAAATTTAACAAATAATGGTAAAAAAAATAAAATTCAACAAAATGTAATGAGTAAAAAAAAAATGTATAAATGTATTGTTTTTTTTCTCTCGTACTGATCTTGTTCAGGTATCACAAACTATACAAGTTACCCTACTTGGTTTTTTGTTAATTGTTTTGATCTGATCTTACATAACGCAGCAGAACAGACAGAATTCTCACGTGATAGTGCAATTTTTCACTCTAATTCCTAAAGTAAATTATCCTATGCTTCACTCTGGACAATAAAATTGATTGTATATGTTAATTTTATTATTATATATATTTTATTTTATATAAATATATTATTTTTAAAATATATAAAATTCAGATTTCTTATTCTCTTACTTCTTTTAATAATTATATTAAGACATTATCTTGATTTCTTTTATTTCTTTTAGTTCTTATTTTATTTATTTATTTTTCTTAATTATTAGCTATTTATTATATTAATAAACTTATATTTATTATTAAACTTTAAGTATTTATATTTGTTTATTTATTTAATAATTTTTAAGTAAATTATTACTATGTATATTTGACTTAATATTGAAGATTAAACTTATTATAAATATCTTATTATATAATTCAAAAAAATAATTATATTGTATCTACTATTATGATCTTTAAAATTGCATATTAATAATATAAATTATTTAATAACTCATATGTAATATAGTATTGTATAATTTTAATTGACTTCATTTTGAATTTTAAAGAAAAAATTTGTAAAAAAAATTAATTACTAACAAAAAGCTTAATTTATTGTTAATAATATATGATCAATTATTATATAATCATTTTATCATGAATATTAATAAATTATAAAATATATTAGTTAATTATTATTCAATAATTGATCTCTTAAAAATCACAATTCTGCTATAATTTCTAATAATATCTTTAATTTTATGATAAATAACTGTTATATATTAAGTTATAAATAAAATTCTTATAATATTTTATATCTCATTTAAAACTTAAATCTATGACTATTGTGATATAACCTATAATAAGATTGTTATCAACTAAATTAAAAATACCAATTCTTATAAATGTAATTTGATTTAATAAAATAATAATTAATAATTAATTTTTTTACAGATAATATATATAAGACTTGCTATTTTAATCAAATTACAAATATAATAAATTATATAATGTAATATGATTTTAATAGTAAACTTCTATTTAAATAAAAAAAATTAATTATAAATTTCAAAAAAAAATAAATTTTAAATAGTAAATTATTCTAATTAAAAAAAATGAATAATAAAAATATAATTCTTTCATTAATCATTATAATGTATTTTTTTTTTAAAAAAATATTTTATATTCAATTAATCTATTTGTATTTACTAAAAAGCAGTTTTTGATCCTATTAATTATAAATTCTTCAGATTTGCATATATAATTAAATGTTAAAATTTAAGAAGTTTGTCTATACACTGCTATTCATTTATTTGGATAACTAATAAAAATTTGTAAAATATTTAATTATTACTGGGTATTACTTTAAAGATGATCTATCAAATGTAGATTAAAGGCTCTTACCAATTATATACCTACTTCATATTCATTTGATAGAGAACTATCAATAAATTTTATTTACTTTTTTTATGAATTATGAAAATTATTATGTGAAAAGAATTAAAAATAAATTTTATTATGTAAGAATAAAATAATAGATATAGATAATTAAAATAATAAATTTTAAAGAAAAAAAAGGAATAAAAAGGAGTATACCCGAAAAGCAGCGATATGAGTCATCATAAAAAACGGGAATTTTTCTTTATCAAGTCGCTTACAATCAGTCACGTGGCTGAACTCGTTCATGATAAATTTTCTGTATTACTTATTAAATAGAGTTGGGCAATCTTGATAAAAAGAAAAGGATGGAATGTCATTTAGGAGAAAAAATTACGAACTTGAGAATTTTATTTTTAATAACACGTTCTCAAAAAAAGAAAAAAAAAAAAAATTATAAAGATGTAAAGATAGCAAGCAAATATAAATATTGCAGTCAGAACATTTTTTTTAAACTTACGATTGCTTTGATAAAGAAAAAAATTCGATTTAAAAATCCGTAAAAGAATCACCGGGCGTTGATCCAGAAATGCTATTCTTTCGTGAGATATCCTTCACTGATGTATCAGAATCTGATAACTTGTGAAATTTCTTTTCATGTCTAATTTAAATAGATATTAATGTGAGATAAATTTCGTTATACGATGGTTTGAAATGAAGAAGACGCTTACTTCCTTTTCTTCTTTTTTGTTCCGGTCTTTGATTCATCAGATATTCTTGCCCTCTTCCGTTTCTTTTTTTTAACATCTATATAATAATATTATAAGGATTTATAAACTGAAATCGTATATATTTTTTTAAAATCTGAAATAAAAATCTTTATTTATTTATTTACCTTTCTTTTTTGTAGTATGCCCTTCCGATGACTTTAGAAAATTATTATGTTAGTTTTTAACACATCAAGACTATAAAGTGAAAAAAGTTTAAAAGATCATACTTCGTCGGCTGTCTTTTCTTCTTCCAGAGCAGTTTGTTGAAGTAATAGAGCTTCATTCATTCGTTCACGCTCTCGTTCATTGTCTTCTTGAACACTAGCAATATTTCTTTCTTGTTCCTCAAATAATCTGCGTGTAACAGAATAATATGCTATATCGGCTGCTTGACGAAATTCATTCAAGCCTTTATCTACTAAAGGTGCGGCTAATGACAAAATATAAATCAATTTAAAAATTCCAATTTATAAAAAAAAATCCATGTATATTTATGTCTATAGCATACTTCTTGAATTTCCTAAAGTCGCATGGCTGTCATCTTCATTACTTTTCCAGGTGTAACCAGTTGCAGGATGAAAATTTACGTGTTCACGAATATTATTGAAAACATTATGAAGGTGATATAAACTGGAATACTAAACAAAATCTTAAAGGTTAAATATTTAAAGAATATATATATGTGTATATATTAGTCCATTAAGAATTACGTACAATTCTTCGTCCAATTATCGTATGTAAATCTGGTGCTTGATATATAATTCCTCGAATTATATAATAAGTTGCTAAAGGTATTGCTGTAATTCAAAATAATTATTCCACAAATTATTATTATTTTTTTTTTTAAAAAAAAAAAAAGATTAGATGTTTTTGATCGGTACCTTCAGTTTCGCTGATTCTCTTCCATTTTTTAATTAAAAAGAAAGATGGAGGATTTGCCTGCTCAATAGCGAATTCGACACCTATCATCTTCCTAAAATAAATATAAAGAATAAAAAAAAAAAAAAAAAAAACCAAGGAGAAATACGGTAATAATGGCTTTTAAACCAGATATATTACGTTATATCCAAAGGAGGACTATGATCAGGTAAAGAGTTTAAAGTACTAAATTTAGTTTGCATTTTAAGAATTTCATTATTGCTTTGAGGATCCCAAAATGGAGATTCTGCAAAATATTCTAATACATTCTCTAGAGTCAATCCTTCGTGATGCTAAATAAGAAAAAAAAAAAATCGTTTAAAAAAAAAAGAAAGTAAGAGGAAAAAAATAAAAATTGCAGACCGTAAGTAACCATTCAGGGTCTCTAAATGAAATTGAATATGGTTCTTCCAATCTTTCGATTTCCATTATATGCTTTTAACTAATACTAATAAAGAGATCAATCAAAGAAGCGAGATTAAATATGGGAAAAGTTATTTCACGAGGAATAAGAACTCTTAAAAAAAAATGATTTATTCGAGATAATCAGGAAAATAGTTCTTTTTATAACAAAATTTTTGATGTGTGACAGTTTAAAACGTCACGGTATATTTTATTAGATTATCAATCACAAGGATTAGTCACTTTGTTTTTCACAAATTAGAAAATATATATTTTAAAACATCAACAGCAGTAAAAAAACCTAAATAAACTAGCATCATCAGGACTTTGAGACAAAATTCATCCAAAAGCAGGTAATTCATTTTCCAACGTTACGTTGGAAAGGTATATCGCAAATTGGACTTCTTGCGGTATATCTGCTATCACATGAAAATAATAATTTACAAGAAACACGAGATGCAAAATAAAAACAAATTTTTAATAAACACTTTTTTTCGTAAAAAAAAATTAATTATTGTATATATACTACCTCAAAAGGTAGAATAATAACCAACCTTGCAACTAATAGTTGATCTCGTTATTCTAATAAACTTATTTCTCATCCATGAAGAATGAAATGCCATGATTATGGCGTTTGCTAATACTGATAATAGGGATAAATTTATTTTTATGTAATTTTAAACGTGGTGTATTTTTTACTTGTTCATTTCGTTTAGCAAAAAGTATGGAAGACGAAAAATTCAAAAAATGATATTTATTTAAAAAAAAATATGTTTCAACTAAAGTTGCGGAGCAAAACCCAAATCCCATTTTGACAAAAGTCGAAAACTTTCGAATGAGTTCGCCACTTAGAAGACTTTAAATATTCTTTCTGAAACCCGCCAAAGACGATGAGCCGATCACCGCGTTCACGTGACAATAGGTCAATAGATTTAGAAAAAAAGCGCCAGATAAGATCGGTTACTTAAGAGGCAAGTTGAAGGATCTCGTTATGAGAACGGTAGTTAACATTTAGTTCAATTTGTTTTGGTTTTGCAATACCGCGCCGATTCTGATTGGTTTGAATCCGAGAAATTTCCCATTCATACATCAAAGGCGCGTAAATCTATATTGGAGTATTAAGAAAATACAGAAAATACAGATAATAAGTATCGATCTATATTCTTAAAAGGATATTCGTATGTATCTTGGAATCGGAAAGAAGACCCTCGGGCAATACATTGTGCTATATCTCCAGCTAAAAAAAACGGCGTCAACATTTTCAAAGACCTGTAAAGTCCACTATTTGGTTATCCTGACATTCGTTAATATATACTTCATGAATATGTGACCCTCCAAGTACCTTTTTTTTGGCACAACGTAAGATTGTTAACTTTCAGCGAAAAAGATTCAAAACAAGTTAATTTTGAAAATATTATAATTGTCTGATTTTACCGGTCCATCGAACCATAATCACCATTCCGTGCTTTCATCTTTTCATATCGTTGAAATAGATTATTAAATAGGTCACAATTCTGACAAAACGCTGGATATTTCTTGGTACTAATTTCCCTGTAATCTTCTTAATAGGCAATCCATCTCGGGCTTTGAACTCTTAAGAATTTTTAAGAAAAATAAAGTTCATATCAGAAAATTCTATAAATATAGATTGGTTAAAAGGAAACGATTTTCGTATTTTTGCTCGAATCCCCAAACAAGCATAGTTTGAAAAGGAGTCAACTTGTATTTTATGTGAATTTGATGATTTTCATTTGGAAAAATATCCATTTGATGATAGTACATATAAGCAATTTAATGGTGATATTGGTGTTTTGCAAAATCCTTTATAGATGAATTAGGTTTGATTGCCTGTAAATTATTTGGAATTTGTGTAAATGAAGCTTCTGTAAAGCGTTTTTAGAGTTGTATGGGGGTTTTTTTTGTAATCAAATCAGCGAAATTAATTAATGATATTTATAATATTTATTTTATTTATAATATTGTACGGTTTGAGTAATAACATTTCATCAAATAAATTTGTTCAAATTTAAAAATTTAATAAAATATTTTTGAGTGCATATATTTGAAAAATATTGATTAGAGCTACAAAATAATGTTGGAATTATTCTGATAGAATATTTAGATCAGAAATTATTAAGCTATAAAGTTCAGGTATTTTCCTAAATAAAGGAAAATTTGAAACATATAATTCTGGCTAAAATTAGCAATTATTATACTAAAATTATAATCAGGTAATATGCAATAATAATTTATATATATAGTCTAGCCTACATACATAGAGTCAAGTTGACATCAATCTTTTCACATGAAGTGGATAGAGTGACAAATACAATAATATTGAGATATATCAAAGAAAAAAGAGGTTAAAATTATGAAAGTTATAATGATACTTTTGAAACTTTAAATTCAAATAATAGAGATAGTTCAGAGAATGAATTTAAGCAAATTAATAAACCAAATTAAAGATAAAACAAAACAACTTTTCTTAGTGTTAATAGAAAATATAAAAGCATTAAATCCCTCTAAGTATTTCTCAAAGTATTTAGATAATTTACGCATAATAAAATATTAAAAAAAATAGTATTAGAAAACTAAAAAAAATGGGCAAATGCTTTATTAATTAATATTAAAAGTTAAAATATAGATTTTGATAATAATTTTTTTAGTAATCATTCTAATGGTATTTCTGATAATAGTTTTAATGATAAATCTGATAGTGTTTTAAATGGTAGTTCTAATAGTAATTCTAATAATATTTCTGATAATAATTCTAGTAGTAATTTTGATAGTATTTCTAATGATAGTTCTAGTAGCAGGTTTAATAATATTTCTAATAGTGATTCTGGTAGTAGTTCTGATGGTAATTGTTTTAGCAAATTACACAAATACTCATTAATATAATAGAAAACAAATTAAATCTGAAAATGAGTACTTAATTTCAGGATATAAGATTTGATTTAAAGTTATTTAATATTATTTACAACTTCTTAATAAAAAATATGCAAAATTAAAAGCAGTTAAATTATTGCAAATATTTTAATCAAGATGAATAGTTTTCATAATATATTAGAAATTAGATAAAAATATTTAAAAATTATAGTAATATTCCTAAAGATAATCATAGACAACATTTTAAAAAAAGCAATATTCTTGATAATAAAGATATTTAATTAAAAATTGCTTTATATTTATAATAATATAAATTTAATATTACTATTGATAAGTTTCATGATTTATTAATGAAGAAATTTACCATCAATTGATATAGAAAATAAAATAATAATTAAGTACTAAAGGAATAGAACTATTGTTAAGTTTGAAAAAATTTACAATAATATTTGCTTTATTTAGGATTTTATGTAATTATAAAAGTCAATTAGTATTGATTCAATTATTAAGCAAGTGAACATCATAATATTTTTTCTTCATATATAATTTTATACTTTGTTTTAAACTAATAAATTTAATTTGTTTTACATATTTTCTTTTTTTTAAAAATTATTTATTTTATTGATTTTTTTTTTAGTAAAAAAATAGTAATTTGATAATTAAACAAAATAACATTCATATTTAGTCAGTATACAAAAGATATATATATATCGATAGTCATAAAAGAAAGAATATAGTTATATATTAAAAAATATTTATTAAAACTATGATTAAATATTATAATATAGTTTCTTTAAATAAAAAATTTTATTTATTTTTTAATATAATTAATATATTTGTAATTATTAAGGTTAATGTTAAAATTTATTGGTAATGAATGTGAAACTCAAATTAATTCTAAATTAAAAGAAAATGAATTTTTACATATATTTATTACATATAATAAAATAACCTTTTAATTAAATTATGAATAGAAATTAGATTGAAAACCTAAATGAACAACAATTATGTAAAAAAGAATAAATACATTCTATTCATATCAGCGATTTTTTAACAGAAACTATTGGAAAATTAAAATTAAATGATAATAATAATAATGATAATATAATTTTATATAAAGTTTATGTTATAATTGATCCTAGAAAAAATTTTGATAGATAGTAGAATATTGATCAATTAATTAATTAGATATATTAATATATATAATAAAAATAATTAAATTTTAAATTATTTATAAAAATAGCTAATTTATTTTATATTATTTAATAAAAACTCAAGTAATTTCAATTTTAAAAAGAATACATTATGAAATAATTGTAATATTTACATTTGATAATTCTTTTAATCATGCAAATTAACTAATAATATTTTTAATACAGCAAATATAAATCTTAATCCTGATGAAAAATAACAACTATGCATAATATTATTTTTAATAAATAAGTTTAAAGTATAACATTTTCTACTAATTATCGATGAAAAGTTTCGTGAAAATTCTAAAGGAATGAAATAATTTTATAAGAATGTAATTTATGTAAACTAGAATTAAAATAATTTTATAATAATAAAGAAATTTTATTAAAAAATCATATTTTGGCTACTCAAAAAGATTTTCTTAACCAAAAACTACTTTTATAAGAAATTATTAAAGGACTTAAACATAAAGTAATATTTTATCTAAAGTTTCATTATGAACTTAATTATATAGAAATATATTAAAAGTTATAAAATATTATATTTAACAGCATTGTAATTATACATAGAAAGTTTACAAAAAACAATTTTACAAATTCAGTTTCTTTAAATTATATAAGAAAATATACATGAAAGTTAGTAAAATTTATGAAATATTATCAAAAAAGATTGGTATAATATAAGTATATCAGGTTATTTTAAATTTTATTTTTGAAAATATTAATGAATTAATAAAATAATAACATAATTTTAACTTTATATATAATCATATAATTTAAATTTTAACTAATTGTAAATTATTATATTATTATCATATAATTTATAAATAAAATTTTCAATTTTAAAATATTTGATAATTTGTTATTATACATCATACATATTGTTTTAATATTAAATTACTATTTTTTAATCATTAAAAATTCTTAATATAAGTAAACTAAAGATAGATATTTTATGAAATCATTATGTTAATTCTAATTTTTTTATACTAACTTTACTTAATATTTAACTAATATTAAAAATCAAATAAGTGAAAATTTTAATGAAAATTCAAATGAACATTCTGATGAAAATTTTGATAAAAGTGAAAATAGTAAAAAATTAGATAATAATAATAAAAATAATAATTTAACTAATTTAAGAAAAGAATTTTGTAATTATTTATTAGAATAAATAGAAATGTTAAAAGAAAAACCCTTAAATTTTAAAATAAAAATAATGAAATTGATAAAATTAATGGATTAGTTAAAATAATAATTAATGATATTACTAATCCTATAAATTATTCTAATATTAAATGAAATTTAGAATTTCTTTTTAAAGAATTAGAATTACTTTTTAATAATAAATAAATAAAGAATATTATCAATTATAATAAATAAATAAATATTTTTTTCATTTATTAAATTATAATAAAATTTATAGTAATTAATTTTTTAATTTAATATATATTAATATTTCAGACATTAGCAAGATTTTATTTAAGTCTTTAAACTGTATTAGACTATTCTATTTAAGAACATTTTCTATTTTAAATACA